TATATATATATATATATATATATATATATATATATATATATATATATATATATCGTATCTATTAGAGGAAAAGTGACCATTTTAATCTTTTGACGGCGGTTGATTTGTCCACCAATCATTTGATGGGGCCTGGCTGTTGCAAAATAACTTTTGAACCCCTGCCTTAATTTGCTTAAAAATTAAAAATTAAACATTTTGGTTACGTTACATTTGTTGTAAAAAAGTCGTTTTATTTGGTTAAATTTATGATCCTTTGAAGAATCCAGGATTTTATGCGTAAAGCACAGGTGAGTTGGTAGACAGGCTCTCCGAATGTAATAAGTGATATTTCCCATGAATCTTTCGTGCAATAAAGTTTGTTATTGGTTGTGGGTCATACAAGTGAGCCAATCGAAAGACAAGAAGAAACAGAGACCCTTTATGATAAAAAGTAATTTTCTACAGTTGTTATTTTGAGCAAACAGTTGATTCAGATCTGAAATAATTTATCTCCCACGACAGGTTGCATGCAATGGTTTCGTTAGTAACTATATTTAAAAAATAGAACCTTCGACGGATTTTTGAGTTTATCAAAATATCTGACCATGGAAAACGAAAAATGATGATGATAAGTGTCAGTGTAATGTGCTCCATGGTAGGAGCCATTTGCTATCTCGCCCGCAGAGGATGTTTATCTCTAACCTCCAAAGAGAAACATGTTGTCAATAAAGTTTTCCTCGAGAATGTTATCCTCTGCTGTTCACACTAAAATAACGTGGCCTGCGCCCTCAAGAGACAATGCATAACTCTTTATGGTTTTTAGAGATTAAGGAAATTATATCAATCACCCAACGAGAACTAACCTCTCCACTACAGGGTTTGACAATATATTACCATATTTGTTGCTGTCTGCTCTAAAATACAACATTGAAGTTAAGTATAACGGAGTTGGTACAATTGGTTTCAGGCGACATATTTTGCTATATTGTTTATCTACTTCCCGTGTTGTACAGCGTAGATTATCCTCAATTAATCTTAATTTGAATCCTCTTGAAACATCAGGAAAAAATTAGGGTATAGAGGGCTATACTATCCGCGCTTTCAGGCTTTTGCTGAAGTTTTTGGAACATATTGCCTGCATATAAAGCAGGGGCTATAATTATTACAAAATGCGTTAAAAATGAGAAGCGTCCTGGGTATGACGATAAACTACATCCGCGTCCTGGGTAATGACTACGTCAGACAACAAGGCCTCTGATAATACGTTTTTGAAAAAATAATGTTGTCAGCTGTACGTTTTTGAAAAAAAATAATGTTGCCAGCTGTACGTTTTTTAAAAAATAATATTACCAGCTATACGTTTTTGAAAAAGAAAGTTTTACCAGCTATACGTTTTTGAAAAAAAAAAAATTACCAGCTATACGTTTTTGAAAAAGAAAATATTAACAGCTATAGGTTTTTGAAAAAAAATATTATCAGCTATACGTTTTTGAAAAAAGAATATTACCAGCTATACTTTTTTTGAAAAAAATAATTAATATTACCAGCTATACGTTTTTGAAAAAAAAATATTACAAGCTATACGTTTTTTTTTTTTTTAAATAATATTACCAGCGATACGTTTTTGAAAAAATAATATTACCAGCTTTACGTTTTTGAAAAAAATAATAGTACCAGCTTAAGGTTTTGAAAAAATAATATTACCAGCTTTACGTTTTTGAAAAAATAATATTACCAGCTTAAGGTTTTGAAAAAATAATAGTACCAGCTTTACGTTTTTGAAAAAAATAATATTACCAGCTTATGGTTTTGAAAAAATAATAGTACCAGCTTTACGTTTTTGAAAAAATAATAGTACCAGCTTAAGGTTTTGAAAAAATAATAGTACCAGCTTAAGGTTTTGAAAAAAATAATAGTACCAGCTTAAGGTTTTGAAAAAATAATAGTACCAGCTTTACGTTTTTGAAAAAATAATAGTACCAGCTTAAGGTTTTGAAAAAATAATAGTACCAGCTTAAGGTTTTAAAAAAAAATAATAGTACCAAGCAAGGTTTTGAAAAATAATAGTACCAGCTTTACGTTTTTGAAAAATAATAGTACCAATTTAAGGTTTTGAAAAATAATAGTACCAGCTAAGGTTTTTGAAAAATAATATTACCAGCTTATGGTTTGAAAAAATAATAGTACCAGCTTTACGTTTTTGAAAAAAAATAATAGTACCAGCTTTACGTTTTTTGAAAAAATAATAGTACCAGCTTAAGGTTTTGAAAAATAATAACCAGCTTAAGGTTTTGAAAAAATAATAGTACCAGCTTTACGTTTTTGAAAAAAAATAATAGTACCAGCTTTACGTTTTTGAAAAAATAATAGTACCAGCTTAAGGTTTTGAAAGAATAATAGTACCAGCTTAAGGTTTTGAAAAAATAATAATACCATCTTTACGTTTTTGAGGAAAAAATATCAACAGAAATAGATTTTTGACAAAACAAAAATATTACCAGGAAAATAAAGTTGTCAACATTAAATGACCCATTGAGGTTGGGATGTAAACCAAACCAAACCAAAAATGAGAAAAAAATATTAAATAATTTCTTTTTCTACTGAACGTTTAAAAAATCAAAGGAATATACCGTGTGCGATGGATAATTTTTTTCTATATTGCGCAAAAATGAAAATAAAACTGCCATCTAATTTTAACAGATATATTTACGAAAATTACACAAAAATATCATGAAATACTAAAGAATAAATTTATTCAATAAAACCTCCATTGGCTTCAACCACGGCCTCCAGACAGCTTCGGAATCTCGTGCAACTCTTCTGGACGATCTCCTTGTTTTTGTTGGTGAATACTGACATGATCCTTGCTTTCAGTTCATCTTTGGTGTTACAAGGAGTTTATTTTTGTCTCTCACACAACTGTGCACCACACATAATAATCAAGGGGGTTGCAGTCTAGGAAGTTAGGTGGCCAGATGTAAGGGGTGATGTAGTTGCAGAAATTGTCTGACAGCCATGACTGGGTTCTCTTGCTTTTGTGTCATGGTGCAGTGTCCTGTTTCCAGACATAGTGTCTTCCAGTAACCATCCTCTTAACCATGGGAAGCACTACCTCCATAAGACATCTTGGAGTCCTACATAAGATGTCTGAGGACCTCACCAACAAATTTGGGAGTTCTTTTCTTGTCAGAACAATCAGAGAGATTTTTCCGAGCTGCTGTACCTTCGTAATCACCATTAGACTCATCCAACTTTTTCTGAATCCTCTGCACTGTTCTCAGATTGACACCCAAACACTCTGAAATGTTCGCATTGAAGGTTCCAGTGCGAATGCCAAGAAGTACAACATTCCGTTTTCAAATATCTGACGGAGTAATTTGCGTCATGGTGTTTTTCTTTTTCTCACAGACGGTGCCCAACTGACCCTACTATACTGTGCAGTCGACAAAATCAAAAACAAACAATGCGCATGCGCGAAAGTAAAAAAAAATATATATAAAAAGGTGACAATTTACCGATCGCACCCTGTAGAATGATAAGGATTTTAGAATTGTATTTCTCAGTTTTCTTTTTTTCTTTTAATGCGAATACTTCCAATAACTTTGACTTGCAATTAACAGCAGGAGAGATAAGAGAAATCATTGAAGTTGATTCTTCATCAAGTTGTATTGAATATTGTTTTAGGGAAATCAAAGAACATCTATTAATTTTTTAAAAATGTTTTTACTTTCAATATATTTATTTTTATTTCAGTTTAGTTATTCTTAAAAAAAAAAGACGGAAAGAGAAAACGAATAAAGTAGAGAGGCGAGGTGAAAGAAAAGAAGATTACTTCAGTAAGGGAAACGAAAGAGGCGTGCGTGAAAGGAACAAAGCGATTGTAATTGAAAACTGAAAAGAAAGGCGGGGGAAATGTTGAATTCATGAAAGGATCAAAGAACTAATTGCCCCTTTGAACCTTTGAGGGTTTACCGAAAGGTGAAAAGTCAGCGTAGGAGAATTGGTATCGTTATTCAGATGCTTCGTGCGAAAAGAGTCACTTCTTTCAATGGAAGGTTGCAGTCTCTATTAAAAGCATTAATATTCTTCAACATAAACAAAAGAACGAACTTGCAGATGCAGCTTTAAGGTTAGAATGCAGAAATTAAAACTCCTTATTAAACATTATTGACTTGTGGTCCTAACATCTTATTTTTATTAATTTGTATCGCAATTACGCGATCGCCATTCTGCGACCGTGAAATAAGTTATAAATGACGAACCTCCAGAACAACTCTTACTGGTTAGCATTTGTCGATTAATGGGAAAGTTTTTTTTTCAACGAAAGATAGGTTCCCGAGAACAAGGAATACAAATCATACTGTCGGCGTATTCTTTGTTTCTGATTCGCGATACGAACTTCTCGACTTGACGGTCGAACTTTCTGCCTCTGAGCAGAAAGGAACCCGGACGAGGTTCCGCCGAAGGGCAGAATCTCGTTCGGGGAGAAATGACCAACCCGATCTCGTTTATACGGGTTATACGGGCATTTTGTTGGCCGAGCCTACGGGCTCGGGAAACCCACGATAAACTCGGCCTTGTGCCACATGCAACTCTCGTGGGGGGTGGCTAGATACCGATTCGCGATACGTATTTGTGAAATAACGGTCTGGTACTTGTGATAAAAAAGCGAAAATCATACGGTAAAAGAAATAACATTAAAATTTTATTAATTTCCAAAGGCTTAATTTAAGACATTTGTATAATATTATATCAAATATTACTTGTTTTATTGATTCGTTTTTTTCTGGTTTATCAACAGTGTGCAAGTTATTGGAAGCTCAAACATATTTTTAGATAGATTTTTTTTTAGATAATAAAGATTTAGGAATACAAGTTTTACTAATTAACCAATAACTGGTGAGAGATGACGTAGATCTATACCTTTCCCCTAGGGTATTTGCGTGTACGTAACGAAGCCACTTAGAACTGGAGGTCAGCTCTGCGATTAGCAATTACGAGGCATTATTCATTACACCACCTTACATCATCTTGTATTCTCAAGCGATCACCTATATAGGTACTATCCAGGCTCGACGTTGCTTAACTTCGCTGAACGTACGGGAACGAGTGTTCCAACTTGATGTGGTCGTAAGCCTAATATTACCTTTGTAAAACTATATACACCAGTAGTATTAGATATAAAAATAAATAAACAATTTACACTATTTCCATCCTTCTGATTGCTGTGCTCAACTTTATTGCCATATTTAGGAAGTTTCGACCATTGAACGCTCTGGCTTTCTTCAGGAGATATACGTTGAAACAATCTACCCTCCGTGGAGTAAATAAAGTGTTCGGTTTGAAATTACAAAGTATATCACCTGAAGAAGGGCGGAGCATACAACGACCGAAACGCCGTAAATATGGCAATAAAGATGAGGACAACAGTCTCAACGATGTAAATAGTGTAAATAGTTACATTATCCCATCTCAGAAATATAGACAGATAGTAAATAAACTGGGTGCTAATAATAATAATAATAATAATAATAATAATAATAATAATACGAAAAAGAAGAAGACGAATAATAATAATAATAATAATAATAATGGAGTTTCAAATGGGCGTAGAGATGCAGCTACAGCACAATACAAAATACTTAAAAAAGATAGCTAAGACGAATGCAACCGACCAGTTACAGAAGCGATGGCAAGATAAACCGCTTCATGGCCAATACCCTGTCCGTACCAAACAAGCTGACGTAGACAAAACCCGTACCCATCAGTGGCTACGTAGTGCAGGGTTGAAAGCTGAAACTGAAGGTTTTATCCTTGCTGCGCAGGACCAATGCTTGCTAACTAGGAATTATCAACACATATACTAAAATATTGTGTCAGCCCAAAATGCAGATTCTGTGATAAATATCCAGAAACGATTGATCATCTTGTATCAGGTTTGTACGATGTTGGCACCCACTGAATATAAAACCCGACATGACAGAGTGAGCCAATATCTGCACTGGAAAATCTGCAACTTCTACGGGAAGAAAACTGAAAGAAACTGGTATGAACACCACCCAGACCCGGTTACGGAGATAGGACCTGTTACAATTCTATGGAACTACACAAGACACACTGACAGAACAATCAAGGCCAACCGGCCAGATATTGTTATTAAAGACCACAAACAAAAACGGTGCCTCCTTATTGATATGGCAGTCCCTGCTGACTGCAATGTATCTTTGAAGATATTCAAAAAGTTGTCAAAGTACAAGGACCTTGAAATAGAAATCGCGAAAATGTGGCATATTTGAACATCAACAATCCCTGTTGTAGTTGGAGCCCTAGGACTGGTTGGAAAAGATTCCAGCAGACTAATTGAAGGGATGCCTGGAAGTCCATGCCTCAAGGAGATACAGAAAATTGTTCTGACAAGTACAGCCCACACCTTACGAAGGGCTTTATCTATGTAATCATTTTTTTTTTTTTTTTTTTTGTCGGTGGAAAGTGTCATGACGCCATTTCTAACCATAGGTCCCTGGGCGGGACCCGGAAAGAAATGTGTAAACGCCAGAAATCAAAGAAAATACAAATAATAATAATATAAACAAGATGGTGTCGGGAGCCGTTTTGTAAAGTAAACATATAGAGTTTTGTGGATAAGTTTCAATTAATGTTATTTTTCAGCATTCTTAACCTAACCAGTAATTGCTGCCATGTCCGAGAGTTTTTATTTATTGAAAAAAAAGTTTGAACAAAGTAACTATAATTTTTTTTTCCTATCTTCTGCCAGCCGCAAAGATGGAGAAAGCATTACCTCGAACCATCGCCAGTGAGACACGCTGCAAGAGCTACTCCGTTTCACGAGGCTCGTCCCTTAATCGAGACGCAATCGCGCCAATCCCCCGAAGGAACGCCATCGAACGAGGGCAAATAACCTCAGAAGACTCCACTGCCACAGGAGTAAAAAAAAAATCTATCAGCAAGAGAAGAATATTTAACTATTTTTTTTTATCCCCGCGTCCCGGGCGACGGATCCCGGCTCAACCGCGGACCTGATCAAATTACCGGCAGAAAATGTATGCGCACAGGTCGCATCCCAAATCAACGACTTCCCCATTTTAAAAGGGAAAATGGTAATGCCATCCGGTCGCTTTCCATCATCACGGTCGAGGCCTACGGGTTCGATTTGGGAAGGGAACCCAGCTGCCTGACAAGACTTCTAAGATCAAGGAATGAAAGCTAAAATCTCGCTACTTATTTAACGATCGTGGAATTACGATTTGGGAGTTGCGAAAAAAAGGCAATAGAAATGAATAAAAGAAATCATTGATAATACCGGATCTCAATGAATTGAAATGCTTTTAAGGTTGGAAGTTCTGGTCATTTCTTCTATTTCTGCGAAATGAATTATAATTAAAACCTTCTTTCAGGTGATATGTCCCTTCAAGATGCTAGCGATTATGGTTCTCGAAGACTTTCTATTCTTTCTATCTCTTAGCATCCCAGTTCTTTCTCTTCTATCTATTTACACAAACAAGTTAGGTATGTTACTCGCTGTTTCTCTCTGTACGTCTTGTTTTCAGTATGTCCTGTGCATATCAAATTCTCCAAGCCCTCTTTCTTCGATATATCCCAGAAATTTAAACTGTCTCTTTCTGATTCTAAGTATAAACCTTTTTTTTAATATTTTCAACAAGCAAGGCGGGAATGCCATTATTACGTATAATGTTAGAGAGCGAAAGTGAGAGAAAGGACTGGGTATAGGGGTGGATTGAGGAAAGAATAAAAGAGGAACGGGGTTCAAGGAGACAGATGATGACGATTGACGTTGCATTTAGACATTTTAATATTGTAGTTTTCAGGGAAGCAAGTAAACGGGAGGGAGTTCCACAGGCGTGAAGTGCGAGAAAAGAAACTGTTGGAGTAGAAGTGGCAGTTACATTTAACTATTTCGACAGTAAAAGGGTAGGAATTAGAAGCCAATCTAGTAATGCGGTTATAGTTCTGGCACCAGGGTTAAATGTTCGTCATAGCAGTTGTCATGAAAATATTTAAAGAAAAGGTAGAGGAAAGCCACATCAAGTCGGTGAGAAAGTGACTGAAGTTGAGATGCCAAGTCAGGATCGATTACATAGCAGATCCTTTTTTCGATTTTGTCAAGAATCTCTCGATGAATATCAGTAGCACCAGACCAGACATGTCAACAATATTAAGTGCACGGGCGAATGGTAGATTTGTAAATGTGCAAGATAGATTCTGACCTGAAAAACCTCCTGGCACGACACAGTGACGCAACTTTCCTTACAAAAGATGTAGCTATTGATTCAATGTAGTCATTCCACTTCAAGTCAGCTGAAAACGTGAGGGAAAGAAGGCACAGTGTGTTGATCTCCAGGAGTCTCGTATCAGCCACGGTGATGGCAGGTAAGAAAGTTTCTCTATGGTGGTTAAATGAAAGCACTTTAATTTTGGATGAATTAAAATTTAGAAGCCATTTCAATGGTGCTTTGGTACATTTACAGCAAATTTGAAGTGAATTTTTCTGATTTCCATGGACGAAAACATAGGACTATCTCTCACTAGGGACTGGCGGTGATGGTACGGGGTGGGTAAAGGGTCAAAAGTAGGTAGATCGTTACATATCTACATTTCTTACGGTTTTTCCCAATGAAAGGAATTTGAGTTTTTCCAGATACCAAGAATAACCAATCATATATATATATATATATATATATATATATATATATATATATATATATATATATGTAAGCAAATATATGGATATAGATCCGACAGTATGAAGAAAAATATATACGAAAAAAACAAACAAAAATCTTTATATACAATTATACTGTTTTAATGTTAATATGTCAACGTCGGACGAATGTCATGTTGAATTGATAATGTTAATTATATTTTATGAATATGTCCTGAAGATGGTTTATATATATATATATATATATATATATATATATATATATATATATATATATATATATATATATATATACAGATATATATATATATATTTTTGAATTTGGTCTGTTGAATTGGATCGTATTTACGATTCCAATGGAATAAATTATGACCATGGAATATTAGTGTTTAAGCCTTTTTTTTATATATATATATATATATATATATATATATATATATATATATATATATATATATATATATATATACAACTGAATGAAGCAAATTCAAATGTAAGTTTAAATTTTAACTTAGTATAAGTCCTAATATCCACTTTCATTAGGGAAAACTTAGAGCCAAATTTCGCATTCAGTCCAGACTCCCATTAAAATGTTATATTAACTATGAACACTAAATTAATGTGCCCAGCACTTTATACAGATGTATATATATATATATATATATATATATATATATATATATATATATATATATATATATATATATTACGCTCATATATATATATATTTATATATATATATATATATATATATAACATACATATATATATATATACTTATATATATATATATATATATATATATATATATATATATATATGTGTGTATATTACATACGTTTACACGTGCTGAGCTAAGTGTTAAGAGAAAATGAAAATAATGAAGGAAGAAAAGATCAAATAAAATTCCGAAATAGCATAGAAATGTGAAAAGTATAAAAATAAAGGAACAAAAAAAACAAGTTAAATACAAGAAAATTAAAAAAAAGTAACAAGTATTGATTTCAACGATACTAATATATACCAGCGGTACCCATTATAACAAGTGAAGTCATCTAGTGGGTTCGTGAACACATATGAAATCAAGAAAGATTTCGAGAAGCCAACTTTGGAACTGGGAGTGGGTATTCTGATACCTAATGGTTTTGGAGAGCGAATGCTGGGATAGCCAATCCAGTCCTTCCATTTTTTAAATTGTTGTTTCCATTCACTTAGGAACTTTGCACATACTCACATTTTCAGTGCACACTATACTCAGTGTCCTTCTGTAGAACCACATTTCTGTTGCCTGATATCTCTTCATTTTTAAGGAGATTGTCAAGCATTCACACAGGAAACTGATATTACGTTTAGCATTGTTTTCTTTGTTTCTAATGAAATTTCCCTGTTTTTTTTACCTAGCTATAAATGTTAGTAATTTTGTTGTATTGACAGACAATGTGGCTAGAACTATTTTTCTATAAGAAAACAAAATTAGTGGTCAGCCAGTAAAACATAATTTTCTCTAATGTATAATGAGGAAGAAAAAAATACTTTTCTTATTTTCTATGTAGGAGCTGGATTATGTAACAATCAAGAGAAGAAGAAATGGAAAAAGCAAGCCAAATTGAAATTCCAACCGAGACAGTTCATGATCCTTGCATAATAATGTCCTTAAGAAAGGCATGAATTCACTTCTACCTCAGGTATGTGTAAAAATAGCAAGAATAAAGAAGTTGAGCTTAATCTGTCCACAATGTAATTTCTTACTTTATCGTGTTTAATATAGCTCATCTAATATTAACATATAGCGTTCATCCGTAAAATTTAGATAGTTATCTTCATTCTTGATATTATCAAATCGTGTAGATATGCGGGTGGTGATAGGTATAGCGGATCGTAATGAGAAATCGGTGGACCGAGTTTGAATTTCCGTCGAGTTCATTGCGTTCACTAACATGTAAATATCTTTATGAAATGTATGAATCCACCTTGTCTCACCAACTATGGATTAAACAGTAGTATTTATATCTGGAGAAAATCATCGTTATTCCCAAAAATTTGGTATTGCATTATTCATTTACAATAATATAATTATTCTTACAATCTAAATATATTTCGGCTTTAAATAACTGAAAATGTGTTGATAAGCCATAAAAACAAAAAAATCTATATTGGCAAACTGTTTTGGCCGATTTCTTTTGTTTTTTTTTCGTTGATATTTTATTTATTTTTTGCTAGTGATATTTTAAAGAAAATTCTTGAGACTTCTCATTTATTTTTTAACTGATGGTATAAAGAAATATCATATAGAATTCTGAAGAATGTAAAATACACATGAAAAAAATATTGGAGAAAATATTGGTCAAATATTCATACCTGATCATTTATTATATTTGCAGTAAAATTATCACGATAATATTTTTGTGTTAACTCTCGATTAATAAAAAGCCATTGTTTCTGAACAATATTTGTTATTAACAGACTTTTACAAGTGAAGTGTTAGTAAAGTAAATAGTATATTCATTTAATACTTCTCATTAACCATTAGCAATTTCATGCAGTGTGTGTAATAAAGAGTTCTTAATAGATATGTTACTCATCTGTACTAAACAGGTTATGGTTAATATCAGTTTACTAATGGCTTAATTTTTTTTTCCACGGACATAAATGGAACTCGAAATTTTGACTTTCAAAATGGAAAGACGAGCAAGAATCGTGGAATAAAAGAAAAGAAAATGATGCAAACATAAAAAGAAAAATGGAAACAAAAAAATTAAACACTTGGGGACAACATAGAAATCAGACGCAAGAGACGGAAGTAATGAAAGCATTTTTATATTTTGTTTCTGAAGATGGTTTTGTTAAAGAACACCGGAAATGGAAGAAACGACGTCCGAGGAATGCAAAACTGAATCTGATTTCAGATCTACATTTGTGGGATTTCGGTGGTCGTTAGGGAAGTTTTGCGAAAAAGGAGAAACAAAAGAAGAAAAAGAAGATTGAAAAGGAAGAAGAGAAAACAAAAGATTGTGACACAGGAAGAGAAACAAAAAGAAGAGGAGGAAGAAGCAAAAAGATGAGGGGGAAAGAAGAAGAAGAAGAAGAAGAAGAAGAAGAAGAAGAAGAAGAAGACGAAGAAGGAGAAGAAGAAGAAGAAGAAGAAGAAGAAGAAGAAGAAGAAGGAGGCGGAAAGGAAGAAAGAAGAAGAATAAAAACTAAAGAATAAAAATTTCGCATGATGACTGAAAGACAACGGAAAGAATAAACGCTAGTCATGAAGACAGTAACACGTTATACGATGACGATTATGAAAATAAGTGATTATTGCTATCTGATGAAGGACGGCCAAGGAAAAATTCAAGTAACGTTGTCGATAAATAAAAAAAGATGATGAAACATATTTTCATGATGCTTATGATGATGATGTGGAAGCAGAAAATAATTGATTGAAAATAAAAAGTCGTAGAAAGTAAATGAAAAAATCAAAAAAATGTAACGGGATATTTAAGAAAAACTATTGTAAAATATAAAAGAAAATAGTGGGAGAATTATTATGGAGGAAGACGCATGAAAGAAAATGCGATATGGTGGCGAAGTGAGAAAGAAAGGCTATACTTAATGTCTGCCATTAAGAAGACATAGAAAATGATAGATGCCTATTTTAATATCTGAAAGAGAGAAACGAGAGAAAGGAGGAGGAGAGGATAACACAAGTCGAACAGAAAGAAGAACTAAACGTGGAATTATTGTGACCGAATTAGCAACAAGATGAAGTGGAAAAGCCAAATTGAAAGAAAGAAAGACATAGTAATTAAAGGGAATAAAAAGAGAAAAGATGAACACTAAAAAGGAAGAAATTAAAAGAAAAAAAAGGAGGAAGAAAACAGAAAAATAGAGAAGTGACAAAATTAGAAAGAAAGAAAAAAAGAAGGAGGAATATAGTAGAAAAATCAGAAATAAATAAAAAAATGTACAAAAAATGAAAGGAATAAGAAGAAATAAAGAGAAAGAAAACGAAAAGAAAAACTAAAAGAAGAAAGTGAAGATACAATAGAAACATAAAAAGTTAAGAAAAATTCTTAATACGGGTAAAATAAAATCCGATAATTAAATCTTTTGGTTAATTCGAAATACAAACTCTGAATACATTAAAAGTCAGCTGCGCAACATCGCTCTCAATTACTATTTCTCAATTGCATATTTCATAGTGGTAATTCATTAACAATATTCATATAAAGTTAACTACAAGATAGAGCAAGTAGTTGTTAATTTCCTCGTTTCCTCCTAGTATACCAAAGCGAATCAATAAGTTTGTAGCCTAATGCAGTTATTAATATTTTTACTATATTATGTTTAATGTATATGATTAATGGAGAAGAGACGGTTTAAATGAATTCATAAGAAGAAGATTGTTTTAGAAAATAAAATAAAAAATATTTTGCAAAATAAATGCTTCTTTCATCATTAGGCTACGTATTTATTAATTGTTTTTTTTTAAATATTTTCCAGTATTACTGATAAATGATATCCAAGTTCGAAACCGTTTGACGTTATCATTACCAAAAGGCTCTTCTATAGGTGCTTCGTTCTGGACTTGTGCTAAACAAGGATATGATTATTAAATGAGAGAGTGCATCAGAATCGGCTGGGAATAACGGATAGCCAGCTAATCTAGACTGATTGTCCATTACTATCGAGTAATCAGTTGGAACTACACTGGGGTGCTTCATATTTGAGGTACTGTGATAAACTATGCTATGTTTAGTACATAACTGTTACGTCGTACAAGATTAAGGCGTAGTAATGGTTAACCAGCTGGCGAAATTTTGATGACCGTCATTGTTAAGTAAATGGGTTCGAAGTTTATTAAATAGAAAACTCAAAAATTTCCACCTGTGGAGAATGCGAAAGGAAGACAAAAATGGCAATCCTTCAGATAAGCGGCGTATAATAGTTTGTCAAAATTCTGCTTCACTTAAACGGTATAAAATAATTTTATACCGTGAGATGTTTTCTCATCGTAAATATCACTGTGGACAATGGCGGTCTGGTCATTGGGTATTCGGTGGTATCGAGCGGTTTTCGGGAACGTGTTTCTTAATTGAAGTGCTGGATCAGCGAGCAGAGACAATAAAACAAGGGATAGTCCCGTGTTTTCAGAATTTGTTTGCTGCCTATTCCACCATTACCTGTTGTAATAATATTTAATTGTAATAAACGTATATAGCTGGGTTTTATTGATTTTACACCGTTCGGGGAATAACAGTTTATTTTACGCCAATTAAGTGAAGGATTACCACAAGGAGATTTTATTACGAATGTTAGGCATGGTGAATTTACTTTTATAACCAATCAACATGCTTGCCATTCGAATTTGCATTTCGAAAGCGTCTCTTGAAATGGTGATTAAGGTGCTAGTTTTACAAATCGTGAGAGTTGTGTTTGATATTTTCTTTAATCCTGCCATATACCGAAGCTTACCTAGCCTTACAGCATATGTTTACTTATTCTATAATAAAATTGCAAAGTTCTTACTTTTTATGATATTCGGATTAATTATTTTTCCAGTAGTCGTTTTCGATTCAATTCTCTCACGGGCCCCAGAAAAAAAATGAAAAATGTTCCTTCTGATCTGGCAGAATATAGTACAACTACATAAAAATCAATCATCTAGAATTGTCTCTCTACTGTGGCCTTATACCAAGCTTAATTAGACGTAGCGAATAGAAACTATAAAAGGGAGACAAAAAGAAACAGAGAGGAAAGTTGGCGAAACGAATGGAAGAAATATTGAATTGGGAACAGAAAAATAGTAAGCAAAAGGGAAAACGTTAAGGCCATATTTAAGAATGGAGGCAAATAAAACGAAATCTGATGAATAATGATAAAGTGATATGGTATGATAAAGAAGTAGAAAGAATAGAACGAATAAATAAGAGAGAAAGAAAGCGAGAGAAAGAGAAGAGAGAAAGACAAGAAGAATCAAACGCAAGACTAAAAGAAAGAAAAAGAAACAGAATAAAGAAAGAAAATGAAGAAAAGTGGGAAAGTAACTGAAAAAATTAAAGAAACAAAAAGATAGAATAAAAGAAAGTAATGGAAAAGGGAAAAGAAAACATATAAATTGATCTAAGAAGAAAGAAAGAAAGAATGAACAAAGAAAGAAAGAAAGAAAGGAAGGAAGAAAGAAAGAACAAAAGAAAGAAAAGAAGAAAGGAAGAAAGAAAGGAAGAAAGAAAGAATGAACAAAAGAAAGAAAGAACAAAAGAAAGAAAGAAAGAAAGAAAGAAAGAATGAACCAAAGAAAGAAAGAAAGGAAGGAAGGAAGAAAGAAAACAAAGGCGTAAGTAGAATGAAGGAAAATGTATGATCGAGAGAATAAGAAGAGTCAGAACAATAAATATTCAGAGAAAATAGTTTATATGTAATGAAAGCAAATATTAAGACGAGAGAAAAGAAAGATGGATAAAGAATGAGACAAAGGAAGAAAAAATGGGGAGAACAGAAAGAAACCAAAATCGTACATAGAATGAAAGAAAATGAACAAGCGGATGAAAAGGAATAGATAGAAAAAAGATAAGAAAAAAAAAACAAAAAAACAAAGAAAGCTGTACATGAAATAAAAGCAAATGCTATGGTTAGAGAAAGAAACCGAACAGAAGAAAAAAAGAAAGAAAGAAAGAAGAAAAAGAAAGAAAGAAAAAAAAGGCTGATATGAAATAAAAGAAAATGAAAGCGAGAGAAAAAGAAAGGGAATAAATAAATAAAGTAAGTAAAGGACACAAGAAAGAAAAAGTAAAGCTACAGGAGAATGAAAGGGACGAAAGAATGAATGAAAAAAAACAAAGTCTTACGTGGAATTTAAGAAAAATAGAGAGCGATAGAAATGAAAGGGACAGAAGAATGAAAAGAATAAAAAGACGTACATGATATGAAGGAAAATGAAAGTAATGCCAAAAAGAAAGAAAGAAAGAAAGGAAGAAAAAATAAAGAAAGATGGAAAGAAAGAAAGAATACAAAGGCTTATATGGAATGAAAGAACACGACAGAGCGAGAGAAAAGAAAAGACGGAAGAAAGAAAGAGAGAAAGGGACAGAAAAAAGAAGAAAAAAAAAGAAAGAAAAAGAAAGTAAGAAAACTAATGCATACATAGGATGCAAGAAAATGAAAAGACAGGATAAAATAAATAAAGGAAAAAGGAAAATGGTTTATGTGTGTAAAAATTGTCTTATTTCATGTATGAAATTGTATCCGTTTACATGTATATAAACGTGTGAATGTATTTGCCTATGTGAATACAAATATGTATATATGCCTGTATTGATGCGAATGTGTATATATGTGCATGTGTATGCTTATGCATGTGTGCGTGCGAATAAGGAAAAGATTCCGTAGATTGGATAAGAGGAAGCCAAAAGCGAGAACTCATAGGAATCATAATTCGACACCGAGCAATATTAATACGGAGCTAACTCTTTCGTTGGCTATTGATTAGGGCGAACACTTCCTTTCATGTAACGACGTATTCCTGAAGACAGTAGAGGACAATGGAACGGATACAGGTCTCGCGGAAGTCTCATTCACTAGCGAGATGTGGAGGATGATGCAACGCTAATGAAAAGGGAGAGACGCGGTGTTAGAGAGCCGGAGAGGCAAACATACAAAAAGGCAGTGGCGGTGGGAGAAAGTAAAAAAAAAAAAAATTAAAATGAAAGAGAGAGAGAGAGAGAGAGAGAGAGAGAGAGAGAGAGAGAGAGAGAGAGACAGTGAGTGGGGGGGGAAGAGGGAGCTAGAGAGGAAGAGAATGTATTGTAAATTGTAGATGAAAGAGACGGACATTTTAAAACCTTTATTAACAATGTTATTCTCTTTTCTTTTTCTTTTGCTTTACATGTTTTGCTTCTTATTAATGATATTTTATTTGGCGATTTTATCAGTATTTTTATATGAAAAAGCGTAGATGTTTCTTTGTTATCTTATGATAATTTTAGGTATTCTATTGTGGATTTTATTATAGCTGTTCATATTATTCAATATATATTTTATTAATGTTATAATTTATTTAATCATCTACTTTTTAATAATGAATATATACAGTGAAAGATGAGTGGGTAGTATAAGGGTTATCGGCTCGCAAAGTGGAATCGGCGAAGCAAATTCAAGTGTTGACCTAGTCGATTGTATTCACTTTCACAACAATAGCATTGGGAACATGCATTACTTCAACTATTCTTCACATGGTATTGTTTAAATAACAGTATATAATTGTATTTGTAAAATTGCGTAGATGCCAATATAGGAGAAGAGCTAACAACGAAAATTGCAATATGAGCTCATGTAAAAAGCATGAAACGATGACAGCAAAAATTGAAATATGAGCACTGGTAAAAATGGTTGCAGAAGACATTAAGTTTCTAAGTCCCAGAAATTCAGGCACTGATGTCCTTAAGGACATATGTCAAAGTGGACAAAGGCGTTGGTTAGATCCAGGATAGGACCAAAAGAGTTGCGAGTTCAATATCTCTTTAAGGAAGTGGAGAACTTGCAGAGGGGAATTAACAGGAGATAACTGATAACTGACATACAGTAGACATGGCACGTGGAACTAGAACAGTCTACCCCAACGAGCAAAATAAAGGGATCAGTTTGACATTCCAAGCACCTGAAGAAAGCTGGAGCGCACAACGGCCGAAACGTTGTGATAAATATGGCACCAAAGATGAGGACAATAATCCGAATAATATAAATAGTGTACATAATACCTCATCTCAGAAATATAGACAGATAGAGAAGAAGAGATACTTTCAATTCAAAAACTGTGAAGTCATCGGTAAAGAACTTTATTGTCTTTTCCTGACAATTCACAGATAATAAAGAAAAGGAAACTCTGGATGCTTGCATCCTGAAAGGATATAACATTTCTATATATATATATATATATATATATGTATGTATGTATGTATGTATTAAAAAGAAGAGAAGAGAAGGGCCGCAAACGTTTTTGGTTGTAATGTGGATTTATTTAGAAAAAATATTATGCTTTGTTTTACATAATTTCACGACACGTGTTTCTAGTCTCGCGACCGTCTTCAGGTAAAAGTGGAGATTTCCACATATTATTAAAAATAATAATTAATTTTTCCTCATGTTCAATGTTAAATATTCTCGATATGAGACATTTTCTGTTTGTTTTTATAATATATATATATATATATATATATATATATATATATATATATATATATATATATATATATATATATATGTATGTATTCGGATATGGCTGATTGGTTGTTCTTGGTATCTGGGAAAAACTCGAATTACTTTGACTGGGAAAAACCGAAAGAAATATAGGTATGTAACGATAGGTATATGTGTGTGTGTGTGTGTGTGTGTGTGTGTGTGTGTGTGTGTGTGTGTGTGTGTGTGTGTGTGTGTGTGAATTTAACAGCAAATTGTCCAAATCGAGTAACAGCAAAATTGTACAACTGTTGGATTAAGAGTTGAACCGTGGTAACTTAGAAACGATTAAAGATATCTTACTGGAATTCTCCGAAGTTTTTATAACATTACTGAACTCTACTTTGCGCAATAAGAACGTATAATTACGCCGCAAGCTTGACAGAAGTGTCGTGGTGAAATTGATCATAATCGAAAATGACATCTTCATCACTAATTAATCATAGCTAAGGATCGGAAGCTCATAAAGTATTAAAATAAAGTTCAAATATATATATATATATATATATATACATATATATAGATATATATATAGATATATATATATATATATAATTTTAGGATTATTTTTCAACTTATTCAAGGTGATATTCGCCCTCTCCAAACCTCTAACTTTCTGCCCTGGAATAACGTACTATTCTTTCACTGATTTTTGCTCTGTCACAGCTGAAACTCTTTTCTCGCGTGCCAAACTTCTTATGAATTGAGATGAATCTTTTCAAATTGATTTCTGTAGCACTCAGTTGAAATGATGATCCCTCTTCCTGTTGCAACCTCCTGATCCAGTTTTCCCCTCTACTATTCCCTCTTTTTTAAAACATTCTCCGTTCCCTTGATGGTTCTTGAATAGACTTTGAAGATAAAAGCCAGAGTATGAATGTTGGTACCATTACTGATGGTCTGAATGATCTTTTTCCTCTCACTATTGCTTATTTGGAAAGATAGTGGATCTGAAACAAAACAATATTAACTTGCTTTTTTTCTAGTTGAATAACTCAAAGGGTTTCTCAGTGATTCTTGCGAAAAATGGCGGCAAGATGGCTAACGTCTTCTCTGAAAACTTGGAAAAAAGAAACTCAATTCGTTTAATGTTATTTTATATATTAAACATTTTGTTAGATGTATAATTATGATGTTACACAATTTAGACAATTTTTCTGTTTTGCGGTATGCATAATGCATTAGTTATTTTTTATGCCATGTCCCTTTAGAATATCGGCGATCATGGCTCTCCACAATTTTCTTTCTTTATAATCTGAGAATTATCATGACTTATTAAGAAATATAATAGAGTAATTTCCCGTTACTTTCTCCCCGGTTTTGAATTCAAAGTAGTCCTTCTAATCTTGCTGCAACACGAAGCTAGGGAGCCCAACCGATCTTGATATTTCACGCTTATGGCAACAAATTCAGGAGTCAACGCTCGGGGGTCTCTTCCGTAAAGTAGTGGTCCTTGGAAGCAACTGTCCGAATGGAATTTCCTTCTCACCAGTGGGATACGAATGGATTGAAGATAACCCGACTCGTTTATATTCGACATGAGGATAATTCGACCCATTATGATCGCCTCGGTGGAAACGATCGTCTAAAAAAACAAATATGAGAGTATGATATGATTTTTATTTCCAAATATAATCTCTGACCTGTGCTGATACCATTTGTCTACAAAGTCGAAACCAAGTTATTTCTATAGTCGCTGTCATATCTCATGAATTTTGCTGCAGATCAAGTCACGTCAAGTATCATCAATAGTCTTTCCTCTTCGCGGTTTTTTTTTACTGATCTCAGTTATGCTGTCGTGGCGAAGGTTTCTTCGGCTTTTCAGATTTTCTAATGATTTTGTATAAATTTCCGCGCCTAATTCAAGATTTTCAGTAAGTATGACTACAATTGCCAATATTAAATTCTACATTTAAAAGCTTCTCTAGAATCATATGATATTCATCCAAATTTTTATTCATTTTCCATTTCAGTGTCGGAACTGACAAATCATTTCTTTCTAATATCGAGATCGAGTTTCTGGGCTTGGGTGACCCCGTTAAAAGTCTCAAAGAATTTTATATTTTCTTTTCTCAATAACATCTTTCAGGTTGGTGTTTTTTTTAGCATGGGTTTGCATAACAAAATTTATGTGGTTTGCACTAGATAACCTAAGGGACCTAAGGTTAGAAATGGCATCATGACACTTTCCACTGACAAAAAAAAATACATAGATAAAGCCCTTCGTAAAGTGTGGGCTGTACTTGTCAGAACAATTTTTGTATCTCCTTGAGGCATGGATTTCCAGGAATCCCTTCAATAAGTCTACTACAATCTTTTCCAACCAGTCCTAGGGCTCCAACTACAACGGGGATTCTTGATGTTCCCATATGCCACATTTTTGAGATTTCTATTTCAAGTTCCTTGTATTTTGACAGCTTTTTGAATATCTTTAAAGAAACATTGAAGTCTGCAGGGACTGCCATATCAATAAGGAGGCACTTTTTTGTTTGTGATCTTTAATAACAATGTCTGGACGGTTGGCTTTGATTATTCTGTCAGTGTGTATTGTGTAGTCCCATAGAATTGTAACAGGTCCTATCTCCGTAACCGGGTCTGGGTGGTGTTCATACGAGTTTCTTGCAGTTTCCTTCCCGTAGAAGTTGCAAATTTTCCAGTGGAGATATTGGCCTACTCTGTCATACCGGGTTTTATATTCAGTGGGTGTCAATATTGTACAACCTGATACAAGATGATCAATCGTTTCTGGATATTTATCACAGAATCTGCATTTTGGGCTAACACAATATTTTAGTATATGTGCTTCATAATTCCTAGTTAACAAGCATTGGTCCTGTGCAGCAAGAATAAAACCTTCAGTTTCCGCTTTAATTTCTGTTGCATACCCATCTGCTTCCCGGTACCAAACAGTGGTCAGAAATGGCTTCATGACAGTTTTCACTGATTATTTTTGTAAAGAAAAAAAAAAACAAAAGCACAAACTGAGATCACCCTCATTTTACATAAAGCTCTTCGTTATATGTGAGTACATTGTTTTTTTTATTTATTTCTTTAAGGCATGGACTACCAGGAATCCTTTCATTGTGTCTATCGGAACCTTTTCCATTAATCCGAGGCCTCCAACTACAACTGAAATACTTAATGTCCTAATCTTCCAAACTTTTGAGATTTCTATTAAATTTGGATAGTTTTTTAAGATCTTCAAAGATACATTGCAATCAGCAGAGACGGCCATATCAATAAGAAAGCACATTTTGTGATTGTGGTCTTTGATCACGATGTCAAGGCGATTAGGTTTAATTTTTCTGCCTGTGTGTATTGTAAAATCCAATAAAATTGTTACAGGTCCTATCTCTGTAACTGGGTTTGGGTAATGTTCACACCAGTTTCTAGATGTCCCCTTCCTATATAAGTGGCATATTTTTCAGTGCAGATATTAGCCCTTTTGGTATAATATTCAATTGGTGCAGCCCGATACAAGATGGTCAATTGTTTCTGGATATTTATTACAGAATTTTTATTTGGAGTCAACACAGTTTTTCGGAATGTGTACTTGGCAGTTTCTAGTCAGTAAGCATTGGTACTGTGCAGCAAGAATA